GGTTTTATGGGATTCCAGGCTCTGGCTCTCTGGCTTTTGGGGTTCCCAGGTTTTAGGGCTCCGGCTCTCCAGGTTTTGGGGTTCTGGCCCCAGCTGTCAGGGTTTTGGGGTTCCCGGGCTCTGGCTCTCTGGGTTTTAGGGCTCCCAGGTTTTGGTGTTCTGGCTTTATGGGATTCCAGGCTCTGGCTCTCTGGGTGTTGGGGTTCTGGCCCCAGCTCTCTGGGTTTTGGGGTTCCCAGGTTTCAGGGCTCTGGCTCCCTGGGTTTTAGGGCTTCCACATTTTGGTGCTCTGGCTTTACGGGATTCCAGGCTCTGGCTCTCTGGCTTTTGGGATTGTGGGCCCCAGCTCTCTGCGTCTCTAGGTTTTGGGGTTCAGGGCTCCAGCTCTCTGGCTTTTGGGGTCTGGCCCCAGCTGTCTGGGTTTTGGGGTTCCCAGGTTTCAGGCTCCGCCTCTCTGGGTTTTGGGGTTCCCAGGTTTTAGTGTTCCGGCTTTATGGGATTCCAGGCTCCGGCTCTCTGGCTTTTGGGATTGTGGCCCCAGCTCTCTGGGTTTTGGGGCTTCAGGCTCTGCCTCTCTGGGTTCTGGGGTTCCCAGGTTTTGGGGCTCCGACTCTCCAGGTTTTGGGGTTCTGGCTTCGGCTTCCTGGGATTTGGGGCTCCCAGGTTTCAGGGCTCCGACTCTCTGGCTCTCCGGGTTTTGGGGTTCGGGGCTCCAGCTCTCCAGGTCTTAGGGCTCTGGCTCTCCGAGTTTTGGGGTTCAGGTCTCCGACTCTCCGGGTTTTGGGGTTCAGGGCTCCGACTCTCCGGGTTTTGGGGTTCAGGGCTCTGGCTCTCCGAGTTTTGGGGTTCGGGGCTCCGACTCTCCAGGTTTTGGGGTTCAGGGCTCCGACTCTCCGGGTTTTGGGGTTTGGGGCTCCAGCTCTCCAGATCTTAGGGCTCTGGCTCTCTGAGTTTTGGGGTTCAGGGCTCCGACTCTCCGGGTTTTGGGGTTCGGGGCTCCAGCCCTGCCGAGCTCCCTCCAGGTTTTTGGGGCTCCCCGGGTTGAACCTGGAGGGACAGAAAAGCTCCAATTGCAGCCCAAACCCAACCCCGAAAGCCTCAGGATCCCCCAAATCCTCCCTCCTCACTCCCAAGGGATGGAGGAGTTTCGGGAAAAGGCGACTCCGGGAGGAGAAGCGGGAAAGGGAAGGGAAGGGTTGGATTTCCTTGGAATTTGGGGCCGCAAAGGGCTGGAACCTCCCCGTTCTGGGGCTGGAACCTCCCCTTATCCGTTCCCTCAAAGGGACGGATGGAACCTCCCCGTTCTGGGGATGGAACCTCCCCTTATCCGTTCCCTCAAAGGGATGGATGGAACCTCCCCGTTCTGGGGACAGAACCTCCCCGTTCTCCGGCCCCTCAAAGGGACGGAACCTCCCCGTTCTCCATCCTCTCAAAGGGCTGGAACCTCCCTGTTCTCCGTCCCCTCAAAGGGACGGAACCTCCCCGTTCTGGGGCTGGAACCTCCCCGTTCTCCATCCCCTCAAAGGGACGGAACCTCCCCGTTCTGGGGACGGAACCTCCCCGTTCTCTGTCCCCTCAAAGGGATGGATGGAACCTCCCCGTTCTGGGGACGGAACCTCCCCGTTCTGGGGACGGAACCTCCCCGTTCTCTGTCCCCTCAAAGGGATGGATGGAACCTCCCCGTTCTGGGGACGGAACCTCCCCGTTCTGGGGACGGAACCTCCCCG